TTGCACAGGACCTCTGGCAGGAGGAGGGAGAGAAAGGATCCACAGCTACCCCAAAGTACCCACAGAGGTCTGTTCCAAGATGCCCCTAGGGTACCAACATCTGTGATGCCTGATTTTCCATGTGTACCAAGTGGAGGAGGAGCTGCACAGAACCTGTGCACATCTCCCACACATTCGCAGGGCTTATAATACCTGGTACAAGGCAAATGTCATTGGAACAGCTGTGGTACTGTATTATTTATGGAATAAAGACAAGAATAATATCTAACTTCCATGCAGACAATTGTTTCAAACCCTTTCAATCCACAGTGGGTTAAATCTACAGATACAGAATCCAGGCTATGGAAAGCTGGTTCCTTAACCAGGGAAATAAAGAGGATACTAGAGACTTGGTGACTCACATCTTGCGGAGGCACTGACACCCAGGAGGCCCTTTCATCTTCCAACCTCAGGCCCTCAGCAGGTCCCCTCCCACTCCCACATTCCACAGCCGCTGCTCTGAGAAGCCAGAGAAGAGGCAAGAAAAACCAGACAGTTAGAGCATCTCCACATTCAAGCAGGACAGAAAGACAAGTATGGGGGTGCAGCTCCACGATACGGCAGAGGCCTAGCATAGTCAAGGCCAGAGTACAGTCCCTTACACCAAAGTAAAGACTTTTAAATAAAGAGACTGGGGTATAGCACAATGGTACAGCACATGCTTAGCATGCACCGGGCCCTGGTCGGAATCCCTAGCACCAAGAAAATGCAGAAGGGAGGGAGGAGAGACAGAACCTGCTTCCTGCCTTGCAGGCTGTCCAGCCTAGTTTACTGGCAAGAGGCCAAAGCCCAGGAGGAAACTAGCCAGGCCTGGTGATGCTCATCCATAATTCCAGCTATGTGGGAGGCTGAGGCAGAAAGATCACAAGTTTAAGGCTGGTATGGGCATAAATTAATAAGTCTGATAATACAACTTTAAAAGTCTAGGGTGTAGCTTTAGGGCAGGCCACTTGCCCAATTTCACATGGCCCTAGGTTCCACCCCTAGTACCATATCCACATGCATATGAAAGACACTGAAGGAAATCCCCGAGTCCTAGAAGACGCAACACCTCCCCAACAAGAGAAAGCATTTGCTGACTCAGGACTCCAGCATCCTGCACATGGAGCGGCACCCACAGTGTAGCAGTCAGCATGGGCCTCCCTCCTTGCTCAGCTCGCTCTTTCTTCACAGGTTTGTCAAGGTTTATCTAAGTAAGAAACTAACCCACTAACCTGGTTACCTGACTAACTGCACTCTGGTTGGCTCCAGCAGCACTGATGTTAGACAGATGTACAGATTTCATTTGTTAATTTATTCACAGCAATCTTAATCTGCCCCGACATAGGCATTATTAGAAGTAAGCAAATGTAAGCATTTCTTGCTAGATAATACAAATTCAAGCTTTCAGCAAATGAGCCCTGGTTTATAAGTCAAGAGTCTGTCTGACTAGCTGGTTAACGGTTTAGGTGTCTTATCCCCTAAAACATACACATTTTGCTATGGTTGGTAAGTGTCCCCCAAAAGCCATGTGTTAAAGATTTGGTCACCAGCCTGTGGTGGTGTTGGAGCATGATGGAACCTTTAAGAAGTGCAACACTTCAGGTAGAGGTAAGGTCACAGAGGCGTGCCCTCGAAGGGGACACTGGGACCCTGCCATCCTGTTTCTCTCAGCTTCTCAGCCACCATGAGTTAAACAGGCCTCCACCACACCCTTCTGCTGTGATACGTTGCCTTGCCACAGGCCCAAAGCAACAGGCCAAGCACCCACGGGCTGAAACCTCTCAAACTACAAGCCAAATCAACCTTCCTCCTTACAAGTTGATTCTTTATGGGTTTTTTTCCGATAGTGATGGAAGCTGACTAACACAATTTTCCTTTTTGTTCCTTTCCACTCTTCTCCTTTTCTCTTTCTATATTTCTAAGGAAGGGGAAAATGATCTTTCATTAGTCAAATCAAGGAAAAGGAGAATACTCAGGACAGTCTATGAACTAGTTTCATGAGGCTTTTAAATGGAAGGCTTTTCCAAGGCAGACCAGTAATGGCCAGGCCTGATCTTCCAGGTAACTTTTAAAAAGAGTATCTCCTAAGCCAGGAAAAATGTTCTGACCTCCCTTCTCATATGCTCTTCCCTTACTCTGTTCTCTTAGTCAGCAATTCACACTTTGCATCACCCAGGCCAGGGCCAACTGGGAGCCTCTCCTAGGAAGCTCAAAGGGGACACCCCACACAGTTCCTCTCACGCTTGAGTCAAACTCAAGCTCTTGGGTAGACCTGTGGTTGATCAGCCAAGGACAAAAGAGGCTGGGGGAACTGAGCTCGGCCCAGGCGCCTGGGAAAGGCCGGGCTGCAGGCCATGGTGGGGGAAGGGACACTTGTACACCTGAAGGGAGAAGAAACCACACACATACAGTGATCTTGCTGGCATGGTTCAGGGCTTCCACCCAGTCCTTCAGGTCCTTCTGGTCATTGGCTTGAAGAAAGTATCTCTGTGACAGGGCATTGATAACTGTAAAGACAGAGGAGTGAGAAAATCCCACATCAGAAAGCATGCGACACAAGATCCCACAAGCTAAGGTATCTGAAGCGGCAAGATGGATGATGGCCACCAAGCCGGACAAGAGATCCCCTAGAATGTTGCCCTCTGTGTGGAAATTTAAGAAGCAGCAGGCCACCTAACTGCTCATTTTTTCTCCCATCTTTAAAACTAAGGCTGTGCCACTGGCCACGAAAATGCAGCCTGACAAACAACAGCTGTGACGTGCTGCTCTGCATCAATGAGGCTGCTGGTCTGCTATCAGCAGGACGCCCCACAAACCACTTCCTAGCAGCGTTAACAGATTTACAGCGGTGATGACACATATGAAATTCTGGACCCAGTCTTTTGATTTTCACTGGCAGACCAGCCTGGGTTACAAACATTGCTGGTGGTAGGGAAATGCAACAAAGCTTGTCTGAGACCGATCTGTGACTTTGGCCTTGTTTGCAATCAGTCCTTTGCTCTGAGCATTCCATTCAGTCAACACTTTACTTCTAGGTTTATTATTATTATGTATATGTTTACGTCTGCTGATCACAAAATCTGAGAATCAGTTTGGGACTCCACAGTACTTGAAAGAAACAGGAGAATGACACCACCAAAGAAGTTTGGACCAATCCAAAGCTGAGGGAGGGGAGCGCAAGGGGCTCCTGTATTCTATAAGTGTAGGTCTGAAGAAGTGGACTCAATGTAGAAAGGGTTACGCACAGAATACAATAATTCATTTGCTCATTCAACAAATACTTACGGAGTGCCCACTACGTGCCAGGAGCTATTCTATGCGCCGAGGGTACTCCAACACCACCGCAGAGGAAGAGCCCTGCTTCTGTGATATGCACAGAGACCATGTGCCAGCATATGCCGCGGCACCGAGCACGGCTCTGTGAAGTCTGGACCCCAACAGCAATTCAGTGATGAATGCACCAGATTCACCAACACCTGAGCAACTGAGGCCTCTACTGAGGGGCTAGGCTTCCCAGTCCTCCCCCAGCACTATCACTCACTCAGCAACACGGAGACTCACCATCAGCTACGCCTTCCTTTCTACTGTCCCTTCCTGACCCTGCCTCCCCTTATCCTAAGTGTCCACCTTTCCTATCACATCACTACTCGGTTTTATTTTCTAGTACTGGGGACTGAACACAGGGCCTTCACACTAAGCAACATTGCTAGCCCCTATTATTTTTTTATTCTGAGACAGGGCCTCACTGAAGTTGCTAAGTTGCCCGATCTGGACTTGAATTTGCAATACTGCTGCTTCAGTCTCCCAGAGTACTGGGATTCCACACTTGTGCCACCACAACCATCCTCAAGTTCTAAAATGAGGGTTACCAGAAACTTGTACAGATTTTTTTGCACCCACCCTATGACATCAAGAAAACAGAAACATTACCACTCCTTGTGCATCTGCACTTATGCTAGAAAGGATCTTCCCAGAAACATGGGGGAAGGTGGTATCGCTTGACACATGATTTATGCCTTCACACAAACACGTGATCACAGGACTTCCTCTGTTCAAAGGAGGAAGTTGCTACCTGAGTATGTGCAAAGCCCATCCCAGCTCTGTACTTACCAAAGCAAAACGTACTTACCAAAGCAAAATGGAGTTTTTGGTTTCTGCTTTGGGGTAGCGACGCTCACCTACATCAAATAAGAAATAAGGAAAGGAAACATGAATGTGTGTCCGCTGGTGCTAAAAACTTCACTGTGAAAGTTTTCATAAATCAAAAATACATCAAACACACATACTTGTTAGTTGTGATTTTTACATTTTAAGAAAAATAATCGAGAACCCTACATTTTTACCTCAGTTAGGAAACAGGCATGATCATCCTGTCTTAGAAGCATTTTGTGTGCCCTTCCCTGACAGAACCTCCACCTTGCAGGAACAACCACTATCTCATTGTCTGTATTAATGTCTTTCTTTCTGGAAAGTCACTGAGAGAGTCTAATAAGATTCTCCTTGGCTCACAGGCCCTGGTCTGGTCCCATTCATACTGGCAAAATATCAGTCTTCTTTCATTGCCAACTCTTCCTCCCCTGAAGATCTCCATACTGATGGTGGGATTGCTACAAAGGCTTTGGTTCCAACTGCAGCCCTGAGAAAGAGGACACAGAGGCCATGGGATGCATTTGGACACTGAGCAGCTCCCTTGAGAGCTACCATAGCCATGCAAACAAGCAGCTCCCCTGGCCAGAGAAGGGCCGATGATTCAGGGAGCTGCCTTTTTATTTCAGGTATGGGCCCGAGAAAGCAGAAGTCTTTCCATGGTTCCCGTGGCTCTAACCCACCTTGTTTTGCAGTCTTCCCTCTTGCATGTATATCCCCCAGAATCTGCATGTGCAAGCCCATACCATGCTGGTTCAAACAACTCTCACTCCATTCTGTGCCTACAAAGCCTCAGTGTCTGTCCTTGAATTGACTGGATTTCAGGACCCAGCTTCCGTCACTACCCCTAGGAGCTCTAAGGAGCAGCCAGCTACCCTCAGGACCTAGCCACATACTGTCATCATCCTCCCCTAGCTACTATGCCTTCCATTCACTTCTCAGGCAAAATTAATGTCTTTCTGCCAGGTGCAGTGGTGCACACCTGCAATCCTAGCACTTTAGATGGCTGGGGCAGGAGGATGGCAAGTTCATACCCAGCCTGGGCAACTTGGTAAGACCCTATCATATCAAAATTAAAAAATTTTAAAAGGCTGGAGATAGAACTCAGTGCCAAGGCCCTGGGTTCAATCCCCACAACCACAAAACAAAGCAAAACCAAAAATCTCTTCATAGTTTACTGTTGCTTGGATCTACTAATGACTACGTCATCAGGCTATGTAGGCTCTTCCTCTTGATCATAAATTATTTCTTATAGACGTTCCCAGATCCTTAACCAAAATTATTACTGCCCAGTTACTTAAACAGGAACTGAGGTAGCAGCCTATAAAAAGATCAAAAGGACAGGCAGTACGGTTTCAACCCACAGGTGTCCCAGCTGTGTGACCTCTATTTCACGTTCTATCAAATAAAGGGTAATGATACCATGTTCTTCCAGAGGTGATATGAGTGGAAGCTAAAGCACTTACCCACCTGTCCTTTACAATCTGGCCATTCAGGGAGGGACAGTTCAGTTTCCAAAAATGCATTGCTTTTTCAAACCCACTTCACACAAGAATACGACAGTGTCATCCCTGTAACTATGGACAAAATGCTAATAGCCCATGAACAAAAATGTGCAAGTCCTGAAAAACTGCCTGGCTTCCAATATACAAAACAGAGGGGACACATCCAATGTTAATAAATATTTAATTAAATGCTCCCATAACATTATATCAGCCTTACTGAAAAGTATTTAACCCACTGAATGCAAGATGTTACATTAAATCAACTTCATGAATGTTTTCATTAAGCATTCAAAACATTTTCATTACATTTGAAAATAATTTATAGTGGACAGCTTTTTTTTTTTTTTTCAGAACCGGGGACTGAACTCAGGCCCTTACACTTGTCAGGGAAGCACTCATTCCAATGAGCCATCTCCCCAGCCCAGTGGACAGCTTAGTTCACGAGAATTCTTATGTGTGTGCAAGACGACTGCCTAGAAACTGGGGATGAACTAGATGTGCTGCTCACAGCCGAGTCAGTCTAAACTAAAACACACCCTTTGAAGTATTCTATAGTTGAACAATTAGATGTATTTTTTTAAATCACAGAGAGGTTAATTCTGGCTTATGGCTCTAGAGGTGCAAAGCCAATGGCCCACATCTGGTCGGATCTTGAAGTAGTAGAGGGCATTATGCAGCAGGAGGCAGGAGTGTGAGGAATTTGTTCATCCAAGGCATTCTACTTCACAAGGGAATTGGGTGCATTTTGATAGGTCTACCATGATGTGAGGGGAAGCCTACACAGTCTTAGAAAGTTCTCGAAAAAATAGAGATATAAGTAAAGGCAAGCCCACAGATCCTGAGTTCAAGTTCAGACTGTACAAATTCTGTCACATCTGCACAAGGCAGGATGCTGGTACCCCACGCTCACAGTCCTGGCTCCACACTGTCTGGTTTTCTGGGGCTTCAGTAGGAGCCTCAGGGGACGCCTTGACCCCACTTGTTCTCATATGCCAGCCTGTAGTGACTTGTTTTCTTGGTCTTCCCTTCAGCATCTGTGACCCCACACATCCTCCTGGCCATAATCCCATCTCCTGCTTGTCCTGTGCTTGGCTTCTACATAGCCCTAATCATCACAGAGCTGCTCCAGCACACCCCCCCCCAAAAGCCCACCCATCTCATGGTGCCTCTTCTCATCAAGCTTTTGAATGGCAGTGCAGAGTTCAGTACCTGAAGACATTCTCTGGCTTATTAAACGAATCATCCTTTTTTCTAAGAAATTCCTATTTATCACTGATCGGACAGTGCCGCTGGCTGATGTCCTCACTTTCTTTGGATTAGAAACGGTTCTGCCTGCAACTCCTTAACCAATCATGTGACAGTGCTAACCATGTGTTCATGAGTGTGGCTTTTTAGCTTGTTTTGTTTCTCCAGCATTCAGTCAGGAGATGCGCGTGGATGCACCCATGCACATCTACAACGTGCCTCCATGCATCACCGTTTGTCACAGAAGGCTAACTCAGTCAAGAACTCATTGCCACACTACTGGGGTCAGTGCTTGCTCTGCCTGATTGGCTATGTAGCAAGGGTTAAGTCCATCAGCGACTCCCATAAGCTCCTTAGTGACAATGCTTGTCTCTTTTTTATGGCCAGAGAACAGCAAGAGGAGAAAATGAAATTCCATCTACCTGCTGCGGGGCCCCACAGAAAAGGCTCAACCAGCACACTTTCTCATTTTTCAAGGAGATACAGCTTTGGCCTCTCCAGGAAGCCCTGCTCACCCCAGCAGAAGGTGTGTCACTCACTGCCCAGCCCACTGCCTGTGGGTGACCACGACAGGCAGTTACAGTGTCCTCAGATAGGGCAGCAGGACAAAGGACCCACACATGCTAGTGTGGCTGCCCATGCATAAGAACCCTGGCAGTGGGACTCAAATGAGGGCCCCAAGCACAAACATTTCACACCCCGAGGTGGTCCCAGCTGAGGCATGCACAGCAGTGGTTGGCTGGCAGATCCTGTCAACACACCAGCAGGGACAGTCTGCTGGGATATGTCGAGGGGAGCAGGCATGGGTCACCACCCAGTGAGGAGGACAAGGCTGCTGCACAGCTCAACAGACACTCAGGAACTGCTCTTATCAGATCAAATGCAGACCACAGAGACAGCAAGCTCATTGCATCAGGGCACCGCTGAGGTCAACCCTGCCTGCCAGCCCTTGGCCAGGAAGCTGAGCTGCCTCCTCTGACAGAAGTGGCAGCAGCCAAACAAGGTCTTACGAGAGCCACAGGCTCTGCCCCAGTATCTGGGGTCACCTTGCCCCTTTATATACTAAGAGTATGGGAACAAGCCAACTGTGGGGGTACATGCCTGTCTTCCAAACACTGGGAAGCTGAGCCAGGAGGACCACAAGTTCAAGCCCAGCCTGGGCAACTCAGCAAATCCCTAAATCAATTTTTTTTTTTTTTGGAACCGGGAATTGAACTCAGGCCTTTGTGCTTGCCAGGGAAGCACTTGTTCTACTGAGCCATCTCCCTGGCCCCCAAAATTTTTTTAAAAATGGAAAGAACTGGGTGTGCAACTTAGTGTGAAAGCCTTGGATTCCACCCCCCATCACACCAAATAATAAATACACCAAATGGCTGGAATAGAAGGGCCATAAGGCAAGGAAAGAGGCTGAATAGGGGGCATCAATAGCCAGCTTTCATAACATTCATAGTAGTTGGCCCAGCAAGAGGTTCTGATGCAATGACCTTCCTGAGGGGCTTTAGACCAGGCATGGGAATCTCTAGTTTGCCTCTCTGGAAAGCCACATGCTGATCTCCCTTTTCCCTCAGCAGACACCTACAGGAGCCAAACAGAGGCCGCGTGACACTACGGTCACTCACCTCCCCTGAGCTGGCAGACCTGTGGGGGAACAAGAAATACCCCAAACCAGGGGTGCAAACCTGTAATTCCCACACTGAGAGGCTGAGGCAGGAGAACTGAAAGTTGGAGCCCAGCCTGGGCAATTTGGCAAGTCCAAATAAAATAGAAAAGGGGTTAGGAATGCAGTTCAGTGGGAAGGCCTTGGGTCCAAGCCCAAGTATTAGAAAAAAGGGGGAGAGGGAGAGGGAGGTGAAGGGAAGACAAGGAGGGGGAAAGAGACACAGGCAGGCCTGCTGACAACAGGACACCAGCACCGCAGCTGAATGCTTTTGCTGGGAAAACCCCTGCCTTTTGGCTTTGAGTCAGGCAGGAGTTAAAGGCTCTCAGCTCGCTGTAACCCAACCCAGCAGCAGCTGTGGATATTGCAAAAGGCCCGTACAGACCCGCAGGCCCCATCCCAGGAAGGGCTGAAAGTCAGGTCATCTTTTTTAAACAAGGCAGCCTCCAAAGCAGAAAATACTAAAAACCCTCATCTGAGCTGCATTTATAAATCATGATTCAGCAGAAGATTATATTCATTCTTCCCTCCCCTCAAAAGTCTTTCCAAACCCTCTCAAACAGGAGAGTTTTAGCTTTCATTTTTTACAGGCTGTCTGCTCCCTGCTCTCATTCCTCTTTCTGGAGAAATGAGCTCACAGCCCAATGAGGACAAGACAGGGAGGAAGGCAAGCTCAGGCCTCAGGCTGGGCTGGCCCGGCCTGGGGAGGCAGCCACATTCTTACCACAGGGCATGCACAGATTGCCCACAGCTGTGCCAGCAAAGCCAGCCCCTGTGGCCCTTCCCTCTTCCCCTGAGGCTGTATCTTCCCCGTCTCAGGCACCCGTGCTGCCCACTGTCTTCTGCCTTTGTACCCAGCTATAGCTGCCAGGCTCTGCCTGCAGCCCGCAGCTCAGGTTGCCTGGCCACTCTCCAGCAGCTGAGGTCCCCTCCTGAGTAGCGGAGAGGAGGATGGACACATGGCCCTTGAAGCATCTTACTAAGGGATAGGGGCCGCTCAGCTCTGTGACCCCTGGGGGGCCAGCGGGCAGAAGGTGGGCAAGGACACAGCAGCCCCCAGGAGGCCTGTGGGGAGGGCTGTGTAGGGAGAGCAGCTCTTCCTGAGCTGCAGTGCTGGCTGGGCGCCACCTGGCTCTCCTCGCTGTACAAAGCGTTCCTCTTTCTGGGGAGGTTCTCAGTCCCTCGCCTTTTTATCACTGCTGCATGGCTGAGCAGCAGTGGTGCCTGTCCCAGGGAGGGGCCACTAAAAGCAGCTGAGTTCAGCAGTTACTGTGGGTATCACTAAGCAGCCCCTATACCAAATTCTGGCAAAAAAAAAAACAAAAAAAAACGAGGGCACTCCCCTCCCCAAACTGGGCCAGGGAAGGGCCCGTTGCTGCTGGCCAGACTCTCAGCAGTTATCGGGCTGCTGAATTTGGTCCAGGCACATACAAAGCTATTCCCAGGGCTTTCTTAGCCTTTCCTTGGCAGGCATCCTATCCAGGTGGCTGCTACAACCCTAGCTGCTGCAGTTAGACCCTTTGGGAGAATCCTTTACAGCTCCTGAATCTGTGTTCCTTTTTGTCCCAGTTACCAAAAAGATTGCAACATTCCAAACCTACTCCAGGTCAATTACCATCTACCATTCCCCCTGGGAGAAGTATGTCAGATACTACTATACTCTGGATGTGAAATGTCCCCCACAAACCCATTACAGGCTTGATACCCAGCTTGAGGCTACTGGGAGTGCTGCATCCTTCAGCAGGTAGGATGCAGTGGAAGGTATCTGCGAGGTGCTCTTGGAGAGCACTGTGGGACCTCAGCCTTTCTCTTTCCCCTTATTTTTTTTTTTTTCACTTCCAGTCCAGGAGGTGAGTGATTTCTTTCTGACATCTACTTTGCTCATGATGTGTTGCCTACCACAGGGTCTACCAGCAACCAGGTCAACTCCTCAAGGACAGAGACACCCTTAAAACTGTGAGCCAAAAAAAACCTTCCCCTGTATAAGTTGATGATCCCAGGTATCTGAAACAGAAATGAAAAACTGACAAACACTTGCAGGGCTGACCATCATAGAGACCTCAGTCCACCCTTCAAGAACCTCCTAATCGCTGCTGCACCAACCCCTCAGCAGCAAAGCCTCCATGGGCAGTGAGGGTGGGAACAGCAGCGCTGTCATGCCTGGGAATGTCCCCTAATGCTAACAAACCAAGGAGGTGCCACTCACTTCCTCATTTAGCTACTTGGAGAACATGGATTCCCAGGACACCAGGCCAACATTACCTTTGAGATGTAGGTCAGCTGCAAAGATCCAACAGCTCCAGCCCCCACTGCCAGGTTCTGAAAGACACACATTGTTCATGTTAAGAAGGACAGTGCACAAGGTAGTGAAAACAGCACTGGGATGGAAGACCAAGACAGCATTCACTTCTGGCCTTGCAACCTTATTCAAATCATGTCTACTTTGGGGTTCATTTTTCACTGTAAAACAGTGATGA